TTTATTATTTGACTAGTAATTAATTGCTTTGCATTTCAGGGATGACAGAAGAGTTCATTAATCAATATTTTAACATCTCTTTGTGGCACTTAATTGTGTTTAATTAAATTTGATTAGCTGTTTCTGATTTCTAGAATCTCCTGAAGACGATGAATCAAAATCCAAGTGTCGTGTAAATTCATGTAAATCCCTGGCGAAGTTCACCACTCTTAAACACAAGCACACATAAGCACATTATACACACACACACACTTATGCACACACACATACTAGCACTTAAACCTAATCTGGCTGGTATTGAGTGGGCATATATTAATTGTGTGCCATATTTATAACGTTATTCAGAGTTCAAGCTATCCCTGGCGAAGTTCCTCCCTCGGTTCCATCTACACCATCAACCACTGGTGTTATTGCTGCCATTGCCTATCAAGTTCTCAAAGGTTCCTTCTATGATTAGCATGTTAATTAAAATTTTCCTTCAATTTATTATACATTACGTGTGTGTGTTATTTTTAAAAGATTTGCTATTTTTTCCTTTTTCTTCATGATGTGAATCGATGTGATTTTATTTTCCAATTGTTGTGATTTAAAAAGTACATTTCTGTAGGAATCAATAGAAAAGAAAAATTAGAAAATAAATATAATTTATCAGATGAAAGCCAAGCAATTGAATTTAGCAGCACACTAGTTACAATGAACATCTTAGGCTAAAGTTTCACTTTTTCCTTCGATTTATTCTATATTTTGGTGTATCATTCAGTTTTTGCCCATTTCTTCTACACAAGGACGCTTGTAAATTACCTTTACGATGGTGGGGATTGCAAAAAAGTAATTAAAAAGGAATCAATTTGAAAGATTTGAGTACATTGGTAAATTAGGTGGATGCATTTTAAATATATGTATCAAATAAAAGGTAGGTGACGCTGAATGAATATCTGGAAGGAAGGAAAGATCTATAGAACAATAGAAAAAAACTGTAAAAGGAAAAGAATTCATGACAAGATCACATGTTCATCTCATTAATTTAAAATGTATTAAATACAATTAAATAGAAAAAATGCTTTTAAATATAATTATCTTTTAAGTTGTTAAATCTGGACATTACTTGAATTTTTGCTTGGAAAGCTGTCGTAAAAAATGTTAGATGGCCTCTTATTATTTATATTTTTTCAGAGAAACAAGCGCTGTCTGTTATTTCCTTTCCTTAACAAGATCAAAGGTTGCTTCTTTTTGTTTGCTTTAAAAAGAAGAGTTATCAAATTCAAGATCTTTCCAAGAGAAAAGCGAAGAATCACAAAGCGTTTAATTGTGCCAGTTATGAGTAGTGATGAAAAAAATGTATGTAATCAAAATTATGTAATATTTCAAGTGAAAAGAGTAATGCTAGAAATAGTGACAGCTAATAGGTGTTCAATTTTAAATCATCAAGGAAAATAGACGATCATAAAAGAGAAAGGGTGGGGGTAGTGACACGGTCAGTGGTACCAAGTTTCTTTAGTTAATTTAATAAATAGTTTGTCATCTTTCAGTGAAGAACTAAAATCTTTTGTAGCTGAAAGTGATAGATCTAGACCTGTGTATCCAAATTAGCTTTCAAATTAGTTGGACCAATAATAATTTTAATTGCAGCCACAGATGCTAAAAGTATAAAACTTAATTGTTCTACTATGCGAATTCCATAACAAATGAATAAGTAAATAAAACAAATATAGACCTGCAATTTCAGCCATTGTGTTATCTACCAGCATGCTTCCGTTAGTCTTGCTTCTCAGTTTGGAATCACATAAACAAGGGTTCTTTGAGAAGTTAGATTAGCTACGTACAAGAAATAAGAGCCTGATATTGTAAAGAAAAAAGAGGCAACAAGGTGAAGATTGAACAGACTGCAAACGACATTTGGTGAGAGTGCTTAGTGACACGTCAACTTATCTTTCGCTTGTTCTTTGTTTCTAGGATGTGAACGAGTTTGTTACTTGACAAATGTGTAAGATTTTTAGACATTGACTTTTATATGTCCCATACGTACCGAATATTCTTCAATATGTTTCAAGTAGCATTTTATATTATTGTTCATAAGGAATAATTATATATTTGTGCTTAGTTATGACACAATATTGTTAAATAAGGTTATCCCCAATAATTGATTTTATTATCATAATCTGAAGACGAAGTACTAATTATTTTAGCAAGGAAACTGTTGATTCCCATGTCTAGGTCCCTACTTCCTTGCAAGTGTTTGTTGTGATGCAAGTGTTTTTTAATTCCGTTGTTTGAGTTTGCATTAGCTTTTATGAGAGATGTTGGGAGATAAAAATGACTTGCACAAGCAATAAATCGGTTTTCACTTAGTGAAGGGGTCTCAATCAATGAAACACTATAATATGAACAAGGGAAAGATGGGCTATGCGTTGGAGAAAATTCGATGGTTATATCTAGACAATCAAGCCATGTGCTATCATTTGACAATGGCTAACTAGACTTCAAATTGTTATGTTAGTCCTTCTCAAATCACTCATGACCTTACTACAAGGAGGGATGATTGCCCCTAGAAAAAAATATGAAAAAGAAAGCTTTAAAATAAATAAAAGATTGTTTATAACTTTATTGAATGATTACCATGCGCCATAAGTACCTAACACACATTTATTTCTATTTATAATAAAATAAGTTCAACAACTCTCTATAGCTAGTATTTATCCAAAAAATAGATAACAATTATTAAATAACAAATTAACAATTTCGCATTTATCCTTTGTTTTGAATTTGACAATCCTATCACTCTAAAATTTTCTTACCTCCTTAACACTCATTTGATCATCATCATTTCTGTTGTCAAGTTGTGTAACATTTCTAATATCCTACCGCAAACTGTGTCGGGCTAAAGGGACACTTTGGTTCGAAAAATGACGCCGAGTAGAATAGTGATTATTTTGCAGGTTGGAACCAATAGACAATAACAGAGAAGAACGCAAGAGAATAATACTAAGAAAAACGAGAAAATCTTTATTATTCAACAACTGAACGAAAATAACCCACAAGTCGGGTTAGATAGCTAGAAAATAATAATTTTCGGNAATAATAATTTTCAGAATAATACCAAAAATAACAAAATCCTATTATTCATACCAAAAGAAAATACTTAATGACAGAAATAAGATCTCAAAAATCTGGCTTAATTTGAGATCGTAATCTATGTCAAAAATAAAATTGAAATATTACTAAAAATGACAAAAAATAACTTAAATTGATGATTCGGAAGGAAAAAAAAGCTGAATTTGGCCTCGAAACCGATGCACACCGAGCATAGCTGGGTGATCATGACGTGCGCGCCGAAAGAGCTTTCCGAATTGGTGTCATGGGGCGTGATTCTGACAACAGTAGCCAAAGTTATGGCCAAAATACCGAAATGTGTCCAAAAAGGCCCCAATTAGGAAAGATCGTCATGGGCGTGATTCTGACTACAGTAGCCAAAATTAAGGCCAAAATATTGAAACGTGTCCAAAAAGGCCCCAATTAGGAAAGGGCGGCGATTATTTGCCAATTTTGCGCTGATCCGCCAACTCATGGTATCTCAGTGTCATTAACATACTATCAGACAGCTCAATCTCGTCTGACTCGGATACTCCTGCATCAAAAAATTAAGAGCTGCTATGGATATTGGTTTGATGAAGAAGCCAACAATGATTTTTATCTTTATTTTTGCGAAGATATGTCACTTGTGTATATAAGCATTTCAAGTGCTTCCCATATTGCATAGGTTGGGTCTAAGCCTATAAGGAGTCCAATGGCTTCTTCAAACGGTGCGATGATCCAACCATGAATGAGAAGATCAGACTTTTTCCGGACAATGAATTCATTTGTTAATTTTGGTGTTTTTTTTTTTGGTATTGTTTGGATTTGATGTGATGTATTTGGTGCGGTCAACATCTTCATTAATGAAACGATCAATCTCTTCTTGAACTCATTTGTCAATTTTGGTATGAAATTTTCTGTTTCTGTTTTGTTTGGATTTGGTGGGATGTATTTGATGAACAAGAATTAGTGATAGATGAGTGTAAAAAAGTTGTCAACATTTACGGATAGCAAAGTGATACTGGAAGAGAAGACTTAGTGGTGTGTCGAGTGCTCACAATCGTTCTGGTACCAAGAAGAAAATATGAAAAAAAATGCTTTAAAATAAATAAAAGATTGTTTATAACTTTATTGAGTAATGACCATAAGCCATAAGCATCAGACACACATTTATTCCTATTTATAATAAAATAAGTTCAATAACTCTCTATAACTAGTATTTATTCAAAAAATAGATAACAATTATCAATTAACAAATTAACAACTTTGCGTTTATCATTTAATTTGAATTTGACAATTTTCTCATCTCCTTATCACTCATTTGATCCTCATAATTTCTATTGCCAAGTTGTATTACATTTCTAACACCTCTCTCATTAAGTGCTTCAATGAATTTGATATTTTTTAACCAAAGCAAGAGAAAGAAATGTTGCTTCTATATGTGCTGTAGATATTGGAGCAAATTATTTCAAAAATCACTTGACTTATAACATGGTCACAGACTGCTTACTGAACTTTAATATATTTCACACTGCTCATTGAACTTTCTCCATTGCAATCCATCCATCACCGTAAAAAAACCGTTACCATTTTCGTTGATGTGGTAGATGGAAGTTTGCTGTGGCAACTAACACCCGGTTAAATCACACCAAATTAGCGAAGTCCTCCATGTCAGCATAAATCGCGTGACACGTGTTTTTCAAAACACGTATTTGGGTAATCTTTATATAAATAAATAAAAAAATCAAAATCAAAACCAAAGTCCTTCCCGAGCCTCGAGATGGCAATGACCGCTCAAATGCCTCCGTGTTGATAAGAGAAATGCTATTCATCCCCACTGAGGATGCATCCCCAATCTATGTGGCGTTAATGTGACATTAAATGATATGTGAAATTAAATAAGTCATTTAATTCCACCTATCATTTAATCAATCATTTACATTTTCACTGGGGATGAATAGCATTTTTCTATTGATAATGACCCCATCACCCACAGCCCCAAAGTCTGTCAAGTTAAATGCCACAGGGCGAAACTTGGGTATCGAATGGGATGCAAATGTCCTCCTGAAGAGAAAGAATCCGCCGGTTGTGGCATCCCGCTGCCTGTAAAACACAGCAAAGAAGAATGCCAACCTAAGGGCAATCAGGAAGGTCTTATGGATAGATAATTGTGGAGATCCAATGGCAATGGTGATGATTATGAATGACTCAAGCCCACCATCTCCGCCACCAGGATCTGAACTCAACGTTGGTGTTAATGTTTCTACCATATTTTCTTATTTTTTTTTGCTGTTAATCCTTTTTGCTATTGAACTTGGGGTTTGGACTTGAGTATCAATGGTGTTAACATGATATGAGAACGCAAACAGAGTTCGAAAAATCTGCGAGTTGGAAATTAGTTAGGTAATACTAGAGAATGGAGAGTGAAGCATAGCAATCTGAATCAGTGAGAATTTGATGGAGGATTTGGTACTGGCGAAGGAGGATATGAGGTTAAATCTAGTTCTGTAAATTGTGTCATTTTAAGAGATGGGTACTGGTGTGTATTTGAATTTGCAGCACAGAGTTTATTAGAGGTTGTAAATTCAAATTTTCCGGAGGTTAAGGTATTTTATGAACTTTAAATTTTTAAAATGGTAAATAGGTATTTTGTATAGGGTATTGTTGAATTTGGGGTATTTTCAATAATTTCTCTCATTGTATGGCATCCTCATAAATATTGTGAATAGATGTAACAAGTTCATCTCTATTAGGAATTTTAACAATGAATAATAAAAATTGTAGACAATTAACCGTTTAAAAAAAATTATTTCCAAATATATAAATGCTCAAATTTCATTTGTTACATGATAGTTTCATGTGATGACATCATAATATTAATTTAATAATTAATATCGAATTTTTGAGTCATATTTACCCGTCCACTAAAAAATCATTAGAGGTCATGATTGTTCCTCTTAAATAGGTTACATATTCAATTTTGTAAATGCATGTTTTTCTACTTTTTCTCTTTCATTCTCAAGGTACCGAGATATTCATGAATAATTTGACCTAAAGTTCTAAAATGAATAACAAACAGTGTAGAGCAAACGAGACATGTTACGTACACCCATGTTATCAATATGCCTTTCAAAGCTTATAACAGGTAAGCTCTTGATAAAGTAATCAGAAAGATTTTTACCAGATGCTATCATACATACCATCATTTTTCCTTGTTGAATGATTTCACTAACGAGATGATATTTTCGTTCAATGTGCTTTCCATGTTGATAACTTCTTGGTTCCTTTGCATTTGTTACAGCTCCATTGTTATCACAATACAAAGTAATGGGACGGGATGCTGAATCAACTTAGGTCTAGTAAAATATTTTTTAGCCATACCGCTCCCTTTGCCACTTCACAAGTAATTGATACATAGTGTTGTTTGACACTCCTTGAAAAAATGGCTCCACCCAATGTGAACACCAAGCTTGAAGTGGACTTGCACGAGTCCATAGTGGCTTGAAAATCAGAATCAGTATAACCTATAGGGACCAAATCTAGAGTCGAATAAACCAGCAAATGATTTCTAGTACTACGAAGACACTTGAGTAGATGCATGACATCTGCCTAGTGCTTTAAGTCCTGGGTTGGACTAATATCTAGTGACAATCCTAACAACATAGTAAATATTTGTTTGTGTACATAACTTCGTGTACATGAGGCTTTCTACAACCGAGGAATAAGGAACCTACTTCATATATTCAACATCACTAGGAGTTTTAAGACAATGTTCCCGTGATAATTGAATTACATATTTGAAAGGCATTTGACCTTTATTATAATTTTGCACAGCAAACTTGATGTTTGGGAAATTGCAGTTATTTTGTTCTTCCTATTCCGAAAAATCTGGACTCCTAGAATATAATTAGCATCTCCCAATTCCTCATTTCTAAATGTTGTTCCAACCAATTTTTTTAACTCAATGTCAATGCTCCACATAATTCCCAATGAGCAAGACATCAATGTAGAGCAAAGAAAAATAACCTTGTCGTCCATAATATGCTTATAGGCACAAGGCTTATCTAGGTTCTAATCCAAACCATAAATCGTAGTAGTTTGATCAAGCCTGCAAGACTAGATGCATGCTTCAGTCCATAAATGGACCTCTTTAGTTTGCATATTTTATGCTCCTGACCCTTTCAAATAAAATCGTCTGGATGCATGCTATATATTCTTTCGTCGAGCTTCTCATTCAGGAATGCAGTCTTACTATCGATTTGCCTCACTTTATATTCAAAATGAGCTGCAATAAACAATGGATATGGAAATTCGTATGGACTTAAAAATTGACACATGCGGGGAGATTTCCTTATAATCACGCCTTCTCATTGGGTAGAACTTTAATGACCAATCTAATTTTAAAGGTCTCCACCTTTCTGTCTACACCTCTTTTTCTCTTGTAGACCCCGTTTGCATCCTATGAGTTCTAACCCATTTGATGCATCTACAAGATCCTAGAATGAGTTAGTGTACTTAGATTTCATTTATGAATATATGGTACTCCTCCGATGGCCAGAGTCTATGTCCTCCATAGCTTTTTTAAACAAAGTGAGATCCTCCTCTTGCTCAGTAGAGACTGCCTCGAAAGACCGTCCACAAAGTAAGTATTTAAAGGTAATCGAGTGGTTCTCACATAATGTCAAAATAGTAGAAATTTTTGATTGATTGAAATTTATAATTGTTCTCTCACTCCTCACCATGGATCACATCTCTCTACTTTAGTCTCCACCATGCGGGAATTGAAAAGTTGGAACTCTATCCTCTGTCACCTCTTGTTCTGACAAGTCAATGGGATGGCAGGTGAGACCTGCCTTTGTCTTCCATTATGCCTAGGCACCATTGGCGAAGGAGGCGTGAATTCCTCTCAGTGTGGATATGTTTTCCCTTATTTCATCCAAAAGAACCTTGTTATTGAATTCATGCTCTTCTATATACTTACACTTTGAGAAGATTAAATTTGTACTTATTATCTTCTCGTCCAAGGACTATAGAAGTAATATCATCTTGTTCTTCTAGGGTGTCCAACTAAGTTACATGTGATTTTGATTCCATCTTATCCATGTTTCCCTTCAACAGATGCACCGAACATCCTCATAGTTGGATGTCTTAGACTAGACACATGCCCATTCCACAACTTCATGGGTACCTTAGGGACAAACTTACATGGAGCTATGTTAAATAAGTATATTGTGGCTTGTAAAGCATATCCTCAAAAGGATGTTGTGAGAGTTGAGAAGCCTAGAATGGACCTGACCATGACCAATCTAAGATATCATTCTATTGGGATATACCTGGCATACTCAGTTGGGATAGAATCTCATTCTAATAAGTGTTCTAAAGTCATTCGGTGTACCTGGCATACTCAATAGTCGATACCCCTTCCTAGATGAAAAGTTAACAGGACAACTTCTTCGTCCGTGGAGGCTGGTAGTTCGACCCAAGAGAGATAAGTAGGGACTATGTAGTCCCCACCCATTACCACAAAATTCGTAAGCATTTTAGTATTTGGAATTCGCCAAGATGAGGTTGTTCAGGAATGTGAGAGCTTGGAATGCACAGATGGGCTCTAAGAGGAAGGCTCCTATTAAAGTGGTTAGGATGAGGTTCCCCTAGAAAGGCAGTCTAGCACTTATGATTTCTTCGGCTAGAGACTTTAGCAGCTCCAGGCAACAGCTGCCTTGGGCTCTTCCCTGCCTTGCCCAAGGCCTGATCTGGATGGCTTTATGAGAAGTGCTATGTTAGTTTACAAGTCGATGTAGGAGAAGACTCGTCACGTGGAGGATAAGAGAAAGTGGGATGAGAGGGTGAATATATTAGAAGCTCATTTTCTGGCTAAGCTGGAGGTCAAGGCTCAGGCTGAACAAAGAGCTGTAGAGGCCTAAGCCGAGCTTGAGGCTAAGAAAGCCCTAACAGTGAGGGCAGGTGAGGACTGGAAGGCCTCACCTGCCATTGATGCATTAGGGCAAGAGATTTATGTGATTAGCATCAAGGAGGTTGTTGACTTCGTAGATGAGGAGGCCTGAGCTTGATGTCGAATGCCTCCATCAAGCTGTGAATGAAGAACAGGCTGCTGTCGCTCCAGAGGTCGAGCCTTCTGCAAGGTCCCTAATGATGACCCAGCAGTTTATCCTGCACATGTAAGTTTTTATTGGTTAAATTTTGATATTGTAAGTTCGTTTCTTTTGTTTTGGTTTAGAAAGGAATGATTATCTAGTTCCAGTTCTTTCTAAGTCACAGTTGGAAGAATAGAAGAGTTCGTTACAAATATCTAAACATGCATTTCTGGTACTTAATTGTATTTGGTTATATTAGACTGTTTACATGAATTTGATTTTTCCAATACTTTCGGAATTTCGTAGATATGATGAGTTAAAATCCATGTCTCAATGTGAATTCTTTATATCAACAGCCATATTAGCTTCCACTTTCCAAGGTTAATTTCTTTTCATTTTTTGCTTAATTTCTTAATTTTTTTTCCCAATGTTACCATCCTGAAAACAAATACATAAGGAATTTTTTTTTCCATATTAATAAATTTCAATTTTGATCTGAAAAACAAGATTTCTGCAATCTACAAGTAAAATTTTATTATTTGACAAGTAATTAATTGCTTTGCATTTCAGGGATGACAGAAGAGTTCATTAATCAATATTTTAACATCTCTTTGTGGCACTTAATTTTGTTTAATTATATTTGATTAGCTGTTTCTGATTTCTAGAATCTCCAGAAGACGATGAATCAAAATCCAAGTGTCGTGTAAATTCATGTAAATCCCTGGCGAAGTTCACCACTCTTAAACACAAGCACAAGCACAAGCGCACACATACCACACACACACTTATGCACACACAATACAAACACACACGTACTAGCACTTAAACCTAATCTGGCTGGTATTGAGTGGGCATATATTAATTGTGTGTCATATTTATAACGTTATTCAGAGTTCAAGCTATCCCTGGCGAAGTTCCTCCCTCGGTTCCATCTACGCCATCAACCACTGGTGTTATTGCTGCCATTGCCTATCAAGTTCTCAAAGGTTCCTTCTATGATTAGTATGTTAATTAAAATTTTCCTTCAATTTATTATACATTTCGTGTGTGTGTTATTTTTAAAAGATTTTCTATTTTTTCCTTTTTCTTCATGATGTGAATCGATGTGATTTTATTTTCCAATTGTTGTGATTTAAAAAGTACATTTCTGTAGGAATCAATAGAAAAGAAAAATTAGAAAATAAATATAATTTATCAGATGAAAGCCAAGCAATTGAATTTAGCAGCACACTAGTTACAATGAACATCTTAGGCTAAAGTTTCACTTTTTCCTTCGATTTATTCTATATTTTGGTGTATCATTCAGTTTTTGCCCATTTCTTCTACACAAGGACGCTTGTAAATTACCTTTACGATGGTGGGGATTGCAAAAAAGTAATTAAAAAGGAATCAATTTGAAAGATTTGAGTACATTGGTAAATTAGGTGGATGCATTTTAAATATATGTATCAAATAAAAGGTAGGTGACGCTGAATGAATATCTGGAAGGAAGGAAAGATCTATAGAACAATAGAAAAAAACTGTAAAAGGAAAAGAATTCATGACAAGATCACATGTTCATCTCATTTAAAATGTATTAAATACAATTAAATAGAAAAAATGCTTTTAAATATAATTATCTTTTAAGTTTTTAAATCTGGACATTACTTGAATTTTTGCTTGGAAAGCTGTCGTAAAAAATGTTAGATGGCCTCTTATTATTTATATTTTTTCAGAGAAACAAGTGCTGTCTGTTATTTCCTTTCCTTAACAAGATCAAAGGTTGCTTCTTTT